CACAGACACAAGGTGGTTTCTCCTTAAACTGAGGCAGGTCAATGTCGCATCCTGACCAGCAGGGGGCAGTAAGGGGAGCAGTTGAGTCAAAATGCAACTTTTCACAATCCAATAATTGAGAATTTATACTACGATGATTAAGACTAGCCTGTCTACTCTTTAAACGTGGAATAATTTGATCATGATCTACAATAACTTTTTTTTTTTCAGCAGCAAAAACAGTACAAGGCATTATCAAAAGATGAAGCGAGTTAGTGTGTCTAAAAATGTAGCTTAAGGACCAAGTTGTACCGTCCGTACATCAGTCAACCGGTCAGTCAGTCAGTCCTGGAATGTGAAAGGTCGTCATTTCCCAAAGTTCCCTCCTTCGAAAATAAATCAATGTGTAAAAAGTGCCAGAGTACAGGTACATTTGGATCAACGGCAACAATGTGGTGAGGATGAAGACCAAGATGACTTCAACAGGCTCCTTTCTCCCTACCTCACTTCCCTCCAGCTTTCTCCTATTCACTTTTTATTGCTCTTTCTCTCTCTCTCCCTCTGTTCTTCATCGGAGCCCTCTTAGTGTGGCAGAGGAACAATCACCTCCACGTAGTTGAGAGGGAAGAATCCTGATTGGCCACGCAGCATGCCTTCATACCAGTTTTCATCGATCTGATTGGTCAGAGTGATGATGTCACCCTCGTGGAAGCCCAGCTCGCCTTCGTTCTCCGGCTCGAAGTCATAGAGAGCCTTACAGCATGCCTGCTCTGCTGCTGAGTAGAGATATAGAGGAGAAATTATGAGAAAGAGATAGTGAGGAGAGATTTGGGGAACAAGGGATGTTAGTATACATAATATTTCAAAAGACAAAATAACATTACTAAAATTTTGGTCCAGGGTGTATTTTTAAGGCTTGGTTGTGTTTCTAAGATGCAAAGCAATGAGTGCTCATGCTTTATTTGTAAAAAAAAAAAAAAAAAAAAACATTATTTTTTCATTTATCTTTAAATATACTGTATCTCTGCAAATATGAAAATGACTGTCATATTTCCTAGTTCCTCAGAAAGGCCTGCTCTCAAGAGGCTCTGATTGGTCAGCAAACATAATTTGCTGTGATTCACAGATCAGTTCCCTGTCAGCAGGAAAAACGTCACGCACCAACAAGAGTAGCTGTATCAGTGTGAGCCTAAATCTGACAGAAAATAAAAAAGGACACAGCTGAACTTCATGCCTGCTCTCTAAAATAAAATCTTAGTGTCTTTCATATATATTGGGGTTATAAGCATGTGTAAGTAATATAAAACGTTCACATATACTTTGCAAGTTAATTATTTGAGATGTAGAAGAGACACTGCACATGCTGCTAAAGATTGTGGGTGTTTGTAGCGGTTTGACTGATAAATATTCATTTGTAGCTAAATTGTAACAGTGCCAAACAGCATTGTTCACATCCTTGCTACAACATACCGTTAACGCTAGACACTATGCATGTGACAGATCAATTTTAACAAATAAAAACACTTGCAGGTTGTGGTTCACAATCCACAGCTTCGTCTATTATACTGCTTCTCTTTGAGAAGTTTTAACTGAATCCAGCACTGAACTGAGAGAGACTCTGGAAGCTGTCCTTTGTCAAATGTTAGCTGTATATATATTTTATTATTCTCTAGAACATAATTAAAACTAAATCACTTCTCTCTTTCTGTCGTGTCCTTTGGAAATAGCAGCGTTTGGCAGCATTTTAGCTTTCTTTGCTATAACATTACAGCCCCTCTGGCCACACCCCTTCACTGATCGGGGTGTATGGGTGTAATCTGAAGGGTTTATAATCTCATTAACCCAGATGTATTTGTTGTAGTCCCCAAACTTCATTCTCTGTCGACTTTGCTAAGCTAACTCTGTAAAAGCCAGTGTCTCTTTTTGCATTGAACTTTGAGCGTATTACACTCTGAAATGTTGTTTATGTTCACACAGCTGCATTACACATCAACTAAAGTTTAAAATATGATATTGTAGTGGACCACCCCTTTAAACCAATATCTGACTACACATAATGAGACAAGGTGTACTCTAAAATGTCACAATCAGTTGGTGTACACACCCAAAATTAATTTTAGGGAATATGCACAGTTCGAATGAAAAATATTTTTATTACAGTTTCGAAAAGCCATAAAAAAAAAACTTCACAGTAAGGTTTTGAAAAACGTTACATTTACTGTTACGTAAATATATAAACAGCCAGCAATTGAAATAAAGCTGAAATCAAATGTATATATTAGATGAAAAACCTAAAAACTCTAAAATAATTAAAACGATGCATTACTAACTAACTAAAGTAAACTATTAAAATACAATAATTATAGTAAAAATAATAAATAAATTACTAAAAATCACTAAGAATAATTAATAAAAAATTAAAAAGAACAACATCACTCAAACAAAAAATACTTCAAAAATAAAATACAACTTAATTTAAAATAAACATCACTAATTTAAACAAAAACAACATCTTGATTTATAGCTGTAAAGCAGAGCTTCCTGCCAATAAAACCTTTCACAGGCCAATCTGTCAAACTAAAGTCATGCCCCTGGGTGAGCAGTGCCATAAACGTGTTAGTGTTTAACACACATTTTTAATCCCACCACAATAGCCTGGCTTAAGACTCAGGTATACTTCTTTTTTCCGCATTCCACTCCATCTCTCACACAACCATGTTTGCACAGCTTTCACTCATTTTACTACTCACAGATGTGCAGTACCACTGTGAGGACTGTTCACACAGTCAAACCAGTCTGTATGTGCATGGTGTGCACAGAAAACATGGAAAGACGTGGAATACAGGCAGCTGAAGTATACACTGGGCTTTACTTTGAGGCACTCTGTGTTAGTAAGAAGTCAGGTGCAAAAGCCTGGGTCACGTGACAGAAGACCTCCAGTTTCAGTTTTTAGCAGGGATTCACACTGTTAGGTGGAGCAACACTCCGTGCTTTAGGCCAACAAACATGCACTCTTTTGTACATACACACAGACACAATGATCCTCACACAGTCTTCCTCTCACACAGAGATGAGATGAATTTCCATGTTTCATACCAATACACCAAACACTCGTTCCAAATGATATTTATGGGAAGTATCTCAAGTAAACGACTGATGAACTGATAGTCAGGCTTATGACGGTATAAAATGTTTTTGCTATGATTAATTGGTGAAGCTTTTATAACGCTATATGGTACATTATACATTATATTACATATGGTATATTACCATGATTTTGAACCAAGCTGCAAAAAGGTTACTTTAACAGGTATAATAACATACTTTTATTGCTTTACTGTATATACATGTTTACAGTAAACAAATTAAATAAATTGCAAAAGGATTATAAAGTACAGTAGGCAACACTTATAATAAAGTCTCATTAGTAAATGTTAGTGAATGGATTCAAACTGAACAGTAAGAAGAGACAGATTTGTTAGCGTTACTATGCTATTATTAGTTTAAAAATACAACCGAGTTGTATTACTTATTAACTACATTTAATATAAAGATTACGACTATGTAGTGTCATTAGGCATTACCTAAGAAATGAACGTCACCTAAAATTAATAAAAGCTTTTGTAGCGTTCTTCATGAGTTTAGTTCAGGGAGCGGTACCTCAATAACGTAATCTACAACCATATTGTGCGTGTTAATTATTACTCTGTAATAATTATTACTTATCTGCAAATGTCTAGAATTGTGTTGAAGCAAGTTACAGTGCCTATAGAAAATCATCATACCCCTTTGAAATAATGACTTTATTTGCCATACAGCCTGAAATCAAATCACATTCCAAAATGACTTTTCCAGCCTTTGAAATGTTTTTGTAGCCTTCGCTTTATCTGTGGCTTTCTACAGCTCTAGGTCTTGTCATGTGAGTAAATGTATAGATTTTCACAGGGTATGATGATTTAGCACTGTCTATAAAAGTTTTATATGCTAAATATTTAAATCACTTTTTGTTTCTCTTGTTTTAATGCTCACAATTTTGTATTTGTTGTACCTGGTGTCGTAACTTTTAAATGTAAAATATTGCACAATTTAATTAGTTTTAAATAGTGAGTTAATTGTATGCGACATTCTACATGCAAAAACAGATTTTTTGAGATTAACTAAAGACTAAGCTGAAAATAGATTCAAAATACTTGACATGAGCATGACATCTGGAAAAAATAATCCTATTTTTATTGAATCAATTACAAAACCTTCTAACATTCAATATGGCATCGATTTATTGATTCTAAATCTAGAAAATAACAGGGTTCCCACACTTCCCAGATCTGAACAGCAAATTTAAAGGCTTTTTAAAGCACCTTTTTAATTCATACCCCAACATATGTAGTGGCATAATAGTTCTTACTGTACTTAACATTTCACTTACACTTAATATTTACATAAAAAATGGCATTTTTCAAAAAACTGAACCATTTTAAAAAGTCATGTTCTAAGAACTTTAATAAAAAAATTGTTAAATTCAATACTGCTAAAATTCAAATGCAGTTTCTGAAATAATGATGTGTATTATTTGTCAGTGTTATTTTACAAGATTTAGATTCATTCATTCATTTTTTTTTCATCAACTTATCCAGCACGTTTTTATGCAGCAGATGCCACACACATACACTACAGACAATTTACCCTCCCCAATTACCTGTACCACATGTCTTTGGACTTGGGAGGAAACCAGAGCACCCGGAGGACACCCATGTAAACGCGGGAAGAACATGCAAACTCCACACAGAAATGCCAACTGACCCAGCTGAGGCTCGAACCAGTGACCTTCTTGCTGTGAGGCGACAGCACTACCTACTGCACCACTGGGTTGCCAGATTTAAATTTAAGATCTTTAATTTAACGATTTCTCCTTTTTTCATTCTGTTTCCGACAATTGAGTACAATTGTTAAAATAAAAGCATAAATAAATTGAATTTAAATTTTATTGAATCATTTTTAAGGATCTGTATATGTTTTTAAGTTCTTTCCAGACCTTTAATCCATATGCCTGAAGTTCAAGAACTTTCAAGAAGCGTGAGAACCCTGAAATAAGCAGTTATGTACATGCCTACTTCCTGTATTTTTATGCACCTTCTCGTTATCTTTTTTCCACAACCCAAGCAAACAAACACACACATTTTCCCATGCAAACACATACGGAACACACTCTTGACTTTCTGACTCACGCAATCTGGGTTTCCTTGTGGTTATTCTGCCAAACTGGTGGTATGACTCTGATGACGTAATGGGAAGAGAACACAGAACAGGGTCACTGGCTGACGAAGAGAGCAGCTGACAGCTGTCCATTTGGCCTGTCTATCCCGACCCACACATAGTTGGTCTCATCACACCCTGCCACCGGGCCGTAGACACAGAGCACAATGTGCCTTTCTTACACCAGTCTAAAGTCCGAGGCACTTCCTCGATGTAATGAAGATCATTTATCCTCATACTGACAGCACAATAGGAAACTGTGTATTTTATGACTGCTCTTACCTGCATTGCGCATCGGTGGAGCAGATGATGGGGTGTAGCCACCGTTTGACTGTTCGTTGGTTTCTCCAAAGTCGATAACAGGCTTGGGTTTGGGAATGTACTCTTTACGAGGACGTGTCTGTGCATCTTTCATCCTGGATAGTCAAACAGGAAACATTTATCAATAAACTTCAGTTGGTGCAAAATGCAGCTTCCAGAGTTCTTACCAGGTCTAGAAAATTATCATATCACCCCAATTTTATCCTCCTTACATTGGCTGCCTGTTAATTATTGCTTCTTCCCTATAAAGCTTTAAATAATCTAGCTCCTGTTTATCTAACCAACCTTCTGTCTCGCTACAACCCAACCTGCTCTATAAGATCTCAAAGCTCAGGGATTTTGGTAGTATCTAGAATAGCAAAATCTACTAAAGAAGGTCGAGCCTTCACATTTATGGCTGCTGAACTCTGGAATAGCCTTCCTGATAATGTCCGAGGCTCAGACACACTCACTCAGTTCAAAACTAGATTAAAGTCCTATCTTTTTAGTAAAGCATACACACAATGCATCACATAACAGTATGATTATTAACAGGGCTTGAAAAACCACCTGTAGGACACACTCCTCCCATCTTAATGCACCCGATATTTTGTTAGAAGCATTTGTATGCTTTACATGTTTATTTGCAGTGAAAATTACCCCACAGTGAACTGAACTTAAACTCTGAAAACGGGACTGACAATTTCAATTTACTAGAACTTCTATGTTAAGCTGCTTTGACACAATCTACATTGAAAAAGTGCTATAGAAATAAACATGAACTGAATTATTGCATCTTCTCGATTCCAGGACAAACACATGCTATGTAAAGACACATGCTTTCTCACACACACACACACACACACACACACACACACACACACACACACACACACCTGTCTCTGAGTTTGTCAGAGAGTTCATCGAGAATCTGAACAGCCTGTCTGTGGTACTGCAGCTGAGACTCAACCAGTGAAGACAGCTGGCTCACCTGCTCAATCTGCACACACACAGTAAATATAGAAACACAAACTTATTTTTTACTCATGTACATTAACATGAAACGTGGAAATGTAATAAACGTAACGTGAAAAATAACACTGGAAAACAACCGTTTTAAACAAATAACTTAGTTAATGAGTAATTTGTGAAGCCTTGAGTCAATAGGGTCTATGCAGAAGTATGCGGAAGGTCTTTTAATTTGTCAGTAACCTGGGTCAAGTGCTTCCAGCGAACTGTACACTATTACAAAATTGGCGCATTTAAGGTCTGTTTTTTTTTTTAAATATACAATCTTTACCTGATTGATATATGTTATAAAGTAGGTCTCAGAATGTACAAGAGGCACTGCATTAAATAAATGTTTTTGCACCGTGGGTCAGTGTATCTTTTGGACATTGGATTTTCATTTTAGAAACCGATATTGAAAAATGAAAAATTAACCGTTTTTTAATTTTCGTTTTAAAATTTAAAGACGAAAATTGAAATACGAGGTGTTTTTCTTTTTCATGGTGAAAAATTGAAAAGAAAAATTAAAAAAAAGATTTCATTTCATTTTTTCATTTTTTAAATGGCGTGTGCGTGTAAATGGCTTTTCATCTTGTTTACGCTTGAACAACTAAATAAATGCTTTAGTCTATTTAACTGATTATATTACAACATCAATGCTGTGAAATGAACAGTAAAAAATTAAAATAAAAAGTCACATTAACCGTTCACCAGAAGTTTATCAGTATGGGAAGAAACACTAACTCTGCATATATACTATAGACTACTAAATCTACACTACTAGCTTTTAATACAAAAATATTTTCTATGGTTTAAAACCAAACCATCCATCATTTTCAGTGTTTTACTTTAAATGTATCACTGGAGTTCAAAATAGCACCTCCATAAACTTCAATTTACAATGTTTATTCTGTCATTAAGTTTTTGCCATTTTGCACCAGAGCAATTATGGACTATGTATGTGAAATTTGAAATAAAATGTCAAAACATAAATTCACACAGAAAGTATATATTAATATTATAATGAAACAACTGTTTATATTTTCCAAAACAACTCACAAGAGAGTTATGGGGTCAGAAAAATATCAATCTGTAAACATTTTTTAGATTTTAAATAAGGAAAAGAAGCATCTGTTATGGATGTAACCAAAAAGTATGCAAATGTACAGTATACAAAACACTTTTTAAAATTCGGTGAATTTAACTGCACAACCCTAAAGAAATGATGCTAATCAAATGGAAAAGAGATTACTTACTATGAAACAAAAATGACTGACGTTATGTTTTTGCATTTATAGGGAAATAGCTTCATTATGGATGCAACACCTCTCCGTTTTGAATGTGACAGATGTGAAATTGCCACTTGTGTGACTTTAGTCAATCAAACATAATTGTTTGACAAATTTACAGAGACATTTTTGAGTATTTTTACAGTACTGTAAAACAGTGGTTCCCAAAGTGGGGTCGGGACCCCCTAGGAAGTCGTAGGACAATGTGGGTCACTTGGTGATTTAAAAAAGTTAAACAAACTTGATTGTACTATTAAATTTGCCATAGATTATCCATAACCTACAGAGGATAAAAAGAGTACTTACTAGTTACATACTTTCAATTTTTGCGACCCCTGGGATGATAACATTATTGTAATATTTAATATTAATAGCGTCAGTTGCAGCAGACTGATTTTACAGCACCATGTTAAACTTTGACACCCTTATGGCACTAATGTACATTTAAATTAAACGTTTAAAAAAAAAAAAGATTATAAAATCTACACCACTTAAAATAGAACATAATCTTCAAGTGTCTCCATAATTAAACCAAGAATAGTGTTGTGTAGTAAACATTGTGCCCACCAGTCTCATTATATGAGGTTAACATTAAATTAAACAAATGAATAAATAACAAAAAAATAATATGATTGTTAGATTGTTGCACTTTTTATGTTGTCAATATGCTAGTGTTTATATAAGCCTATTGGTGTGTATGTGTGTGCAACATTGTGTGCAATGCTTGTATGTTTATCACTACCTCCGAGGTTAGTGGGGGTCAAGTTACTGAAATTATTATTTATGGGTCACGGGCTGAAAATTTTGGGAACCCCTGCTGTAAAATACAAGCCTACACGAAAAACCATTAAGGGGTTCACTTTTTTGGTGAAAACTATATATATTTTTATGGCAGGGTTGACTTTGAATGAAATTGCTCTCCAACAGATGGCGCTCTATCATCTTTAAACATTCAATAAACACTACAGCTTAGAAGAAAGAGGATTTTTTTGGCTGCTCTTCAGTTTTATTGGATTACCTGTCGTGACCCCGCTGATGGACTAGTCAAACATAAAAGAAAAACATTCATTTTTAATACTGCTCATTCTAAAGTGACAGCCTTTGACAGATATCTTAACTGAGAGCTATAGCTGAGTAGATACAAAATCAGTAAGGCAAGGTGTTAAAAGACAAACACTGAATTAATCAGCGCTTCTAATAGGATTAGCACAACCCCTAGGGAACACAAAAGCACAAAAAACACACCAACTTAAGCACCAAGCTGTCAGACGGTAAATCCTTACATCGGTTTCCAGAAGGTTGTACATGCTGATCTCAGCCACCTCCTTAGATTCATGAAACTTCTCCAGCGCTTGCCTGAGCTCTTCATCTGGAATTTTCCCCTGACGTTTCTTCTTATAGTCATAATCCAGCCTGCGTCCTTCAAGCTTTTTCAAATGGTGCTGAGAAGGAGGGAAAATCTTCATTTCAATGCAAGTGGTGTAGAATAGACCACATTAAAAATAGCAATAGTTATTAATAGCAATAGACAACTTTCCTTTTAACTCAACTAGCCCAAATCAGGATAATTATTTTTAATGAATTGATGTTTCTGTGTTATTGAAAATTGAGGCAATCAAAACATAAATATTCCAAAAAAGGTCATTATTTATCATTTGTAATCAAATTGGTTTATCATGTAAAGTCATGACATCTCATCACTTCAATGTAGGCATGAGGCAGTTTTTATAATGGCAAAGATAATTTGTTATACCATTCGTACAATATATGTAAGTTTTTTTATGTGTTTTTTAGGGCGTTAGTAGTGGTGTAACGCATCACAAATCTCCTGGTTCGGATCACACTATGGTTATTGAGTCACGAATCAGACCATTTTTCGAATCAGAAAAAAAGAGATTGGACAAATGTCATTTGCTTTCCATTTATACAAAAATATTACTGCAAAAACCATTGGTTTAACCGCAGAACTTAAATATCAAGAAAGAACCCGCTGCAAAAAAGGAAAATATTCAGTACGAAAATGATCTTGAACAACAAAACATATTTATTTTCAATTAATTGTTCAACAATTCACATATAAAACTTCATCTTTCATTATAGGTTATAAACATTTTTGAAAAACTATTCAGTGACATCATTTTGATGGTTGTTTTTCGCCACCCATTGGTTACACAACGATTTTAACCTTTACCGTGTTTATTTCTGAACTATAAACTGTTATCCCAGTACTTCTGTGTTATTTAATTGTTTGTTACTAACTGAAAAAGTGTAAAAACTGAATCTCTCTCAATCAAATGCAGATTTGAATGTAGCACTTCGAAGGATTAATAAATATATGCAAATCACCATCATTTATAATTCATGCTGGGGGGGTTTGAACTGAGATCACAATCTTTTAATGTTTAAATGTGCAGCTTTACACTGAATGGATTATTGCAGGCTAAACAAGCAGTGATAGAAAACATCTTTAATTAATATCTGGAGAAAGCATTTAGGTCCCACCACAATTTCTTCCGTCATCATATTTTACAGACACGCCAAAATCCTTTTATACACATGATTTGAATGACGCGGGAGGTGATCTCTCTGCAATTATTATAAATGTTAGATTAACCTACAAGTTCAAAAAAAGTTATTAATCCGTGTGCATTCCGAACTGTGGGTTGTGATCCGTACAGATCATGGATAAACCGTGATCCGTAACACCCCTAGGCGACAATATCTCCAGCAGAAAAGGAACATTCTCATCAAAAGCTACTGGTCCCCACAATTTAGCAATCATTTGAAAATCAGAAATCGCTTATGAACCAACATATAAACATGCTATAGACCTGAACAGGGCAGAGGCTTACTTTGCATCCAAATAATTGAAAGATATATTAAGATGCAGAAGTCAAGGATTTATTTTAATTATTTAGTCTGACATGTTTACGGTCACAAAATAGTTTCTTAAAAAATAAAATAAGAGTTTAATGGGGTAAAAGTTGTCGTTTTTTACCTGGACATTTAAAAAGAAAATATTTTAAAGCAGTGATCAGAATACCGTGAAACGGTGATGTTTAACCAAGATTATTATACCGTCACAATCTTATACCGACCCATGCCTACTTCAATGTCACTCAATTAATAAGTATTTGTTTAAAGACACCTTTTATTTATAAAATAGTTTTATTTATTTATTTGGCATTTTTTAATATAGGAAATGTTAGATTGAAATTGTGATTTCAATAAAGGAACAGAAACCTCTTGAGATTAGCCTTATGCGAGTCCAACAGAAAACGAAAGCAAACCTGTATCTCTCTCAAGTCCTTGTCACACAGGCCTTGTAAAGGGTCGATGAAGTTCTGTTTGACATCAATGTCCAAAGAATCCTTCACCTCTGCTAGTCTCTTCATACTTTCCCCAACTTCCATTAGAGCACCACCTACGGACAAATGCAGTATGTGCTTGTTTTGAACATTTGGCAAGCCGGAGGATTGCAAAATAAATCAGGAGGTTATATAAGGTTTTAAAAGCTGCACTGACTTGTTTTTTTTAAACCTACCAAAGTTTGTTTCTTCTCCGAGTTCTCTGCCATATTTTCCCATACATTCTCCCAGCAGCCCCTCAGCCTGTGGATAACCTGGACTTTTCACCTGCCCTCTGATCTTAGACATAGTGTTTAACATAGAAAGCTTTGCACGAGATGCTGTAAGACAGTTGACAAATGAACAGAAATAAATTAAAAGACTTAGAAAGAGATTTAACATGATGAATTGTGCAAATTTTGTCAAAAGAAAACAAGTATATATATTTTAAGTTAAGCTAAGGCCTATGAACTTACCAGGATTGGGCTGCAGGTACTCTGACGTTTTAGAGATCACTTCTACCACAGCTTTATTTGTCACATCTACTTTCTACAGAAACACAGAGGGGAGGTCACTGTACTGAAAACACACATGTACACCACTACAGGCAAAACACAATTACCAACAGATAATAAAATGATCCAATAACTTCTTTTACATCTATGATAAGAACAGATTTTAACATTTAAAACTTATTTACATCATAACAAACAGTGTGGAACGATTCTTGATTCTGATATGAAATATAGTTGAGACCGTGTCTATTTATAATATAGTGACTCTGGTACCACAGAGGTGTCATTCTTTTCACAAATGAACATATATAACAGTATTAAAACAGTAGCTGTTTTAAAAGGAGACTGTAAAGTCAGCTGGCCATTTTTTTGCCAAATAAACCTGGCATTTATTATGCTAAAATGTTATTTATTTAGCAAAAATTATCAGATGGCGGTACTTTATTCCTTATTTATTTAGGAGTTTGTGTATTGAATATCCCCACTCATTATTAATCATAACACTGCTCTTTTAATACCCTTTATTTTAGAGATCGGGTCAATACTTGGTTAAAATACTTGTACTTGTAATGTAAATGACGATACCATGCATCGATACCACTCAACAGTATTTCACTACATGGATGTGATTGGTTGTCCTTCCTGACTTCATTGTCTTAATGTATTACCTAGTGTGTTATATTCATAGATTAGATCTTATAAACAATCCATTTATAAAATACATTATTTACGAATCTATGGGCTACTGAAAAATAAACCGCATATGCAATATGATCCTTGGTTATGTAATGTGTGAAGTCGTGGATGCGTGTTAGTACAGGTATAACTTTTCCTTTAAATGTCAACGCTGAACCGGTAATCGATGCAGAGTTGTCAACAATGTGTGTATATTTTTGGCTTGGAATAGCCTTCTGTTAAAGATTTTTGTGCTCATCCTTGCTACAGGCAAAAAAGAAAATAAAACCTCCTTTCAAATTAATTGCACTTTCATTAAAACCAAATCTAAAAAGTAAAGGAATTGGTACTTATTATCGGCGAGTACACAAATTAAGATATTCCTACTGGAATCGGTTTGTAAAAATGTGGTATTTATTGGTTCATTTATTAGCCAATATTACAATCAACTACTTACTAAAATACTTCTACACAGAGAAAACAAAATAAGAGGTGATGTACAACGTTGACACGTAAAAGGAAAAACTAGGACGTCCACAGACATTCCTGATGGTGAACTTTCATTACAATGATTATGTCTGAATAATTCTTGGCTTTACTTCATCTAAAAGGTGTCAACACTGGTCAAACAGTGTTAATATGTTATTGTGGATTAAAATAAATGAATTGGGGATAAAATATATTATAAGTGACTAGTTTAAAGGAGTAGAAAAACATTTTTAAATCACATAATTGAATTAGGAAGAAAACGCTCTGAAAAACTTTCATTTACTTTAAAAGGTTGTGCATTTCACTATTCATGTACACCAACTATGGTATCAGGGCTCGAAATTAACTTTTTTACTTGGTAGCACCGGTGCTCCCAACTTTAAATATTTAGGAGCACCAAAAAATTTTTAGGAGCACCAGAAAAAATTTAGGAGCACCCACCAAAAATGAATGAGCACCGCTGCAAATTGTTTTTTAAGGGATTTATTGTATTTTAAAACAACATTAATAGGACTGACAAAAACCAAAAACAACTATCTAACTAATGCTGCGAAGACATTGATATTTGTGTGCAATAATTCAAAAATGAATGTCTAATAATTAGGCCATAAAATATTAATGATGATAAAAAATGACATTAATAGAAATGAATTCCATTTCTCATTATGATACTGCCTTGAATGTGCATGAATGTAGGTTATCTGCTATAAAAAGTCTGTTACTTTATGAAAAATAATTGAATAGTTTGCATCAAACAAACAATGAAGCATTGCAGTAAGAAATATTTATTTTGTACTGCTGTTTTTTTATGCTTGTCAATTTAATAAATAATTTTTCTGCTACAAAACAAACAAAAGATTATAATAAATCATTCAATTCAATGATGAAAGCTGCAAAGCAGTCATCAGTAAATAAATAAAAAAAGAATAATATACACCTCAAGAAAGAACAGACAAAAAAAGGAAGTAAAGTCTCACTTCTATCACTCTTTAAAAGTTTTGGTTACAGTTTGCGTCAATTTAAAGGTTCAGTATGAGATGATCTTCATTTTTCTGTGTTTGTGGAAAAGCAGGCGAGTCAGCCGACCCAATTTATGAGCAGGCAGAGCAGGATTCTTGCGCTAACCATCAGCGCAATACCGATCTTTGTTATGAGCCGGAGTTTCAGTGTAAACTTAGTAAAGGCGAGCTTCTTTGGCGATGATATGTACAGTATTAGATTTGACTTTTAGAGGACATTTACGCTGAACACGCAGTGAATGCAACGCATGGAGATTCGGGCACCTTCTCCAAGAAGCGCGTACTCGATTGATCTCAGCTGGCGGATCATTATTCACCACGTGACGTGTCATGATTGCTTTTATCTGCGCCTCAACTTTAGGTGGGGTTTTCAAACCTGTGTGCTTTAAGTTTTTACTCTTCAGCCGTTTGCATTTCCTGTGGTCATAAAAGCTCCTTCCCTGTCATCTGACAGCGGAATACCTTGAGTGAATGACAGCTAATATGAACCAATATAGCGGCAGGGAAGAGCAATTCAGCACGATTTTACAAAAAATCAAAACAGGTCGCACTACAACCATTATCTGCAGTCGCACTAATGCGCCCAAATATATTATGAGGTCGCATAGATATATTTTCGGGCGCATATGCTACCAAAATGGTCGCAATTTCGAGCCCTGGGTATGTTTGATTCATTCTCAGTTAAGTTTAATGTGTATCATATTAAAACAGTGTTTTTAAGACACGATTACATCCCTTAGGTAAAAGGGCCAGTTCACCCAAAACTGAATTTTTTTTTACTTCTCATTTACTAGTGACAAACCTGTTTGACTTTCTTTCTTTTGTTGAACACAAAATAAGATATTTTTTCAAATTCTGTAAACCTGTAACTATCAACTTCCACAGTATTTGTTATTTTACTATGGAGAACAAGGGTAATGTTTGACATCTTCCAAAATAACTTAATTTATGTTCAAAAGATTAATTAGATTATTCAGAAACTTAGGTTTGAAAGCACTTGAGGGTTGGTAAATTTTTTATTTGGGGTGAACAATCCCTTTAGGAGGATAGTATTATGAAAATTAGCTTTCAGAGTAAGACACTGCAAAGCATAAACACTTCAGATAATTGTAAAAATAACACCACTTTCACTTTGTAAAGGAAAGAAACCTTCCAGGAAAAACAGGTGGTGTATTCATCTCACTGATGAATGTGTGGGATAAAGGTGAAGTCTTTGAATCGCTTAATGCATTTAAATCAATGTTTTTAGAAAGACTGTTGGCCACAGTGTGAGAAAATACTCTCCACATACTCTCTCCAGGTCCTTGAACTCCTCGTCCAGTTTAGTTCCCTCAGCGCCACCGACCTTTTCACTCACCATCTGTCACAAACAAAGAGAGAAGCCATTTACAAAACAGTATGACTAACAGTAGTAAAATGAAAGTAAAATAGGCAACGCAAGTGAAAAAAAAGCTTGCATTATTAAAATATTATTAAATTATTAAAAAAATTTGTTTTGGAAAGAGGCTCATTTTAAAAGTCATTGAAACTGAAGGATTTGTTAAGACTGACTCAGATCACGACCTTAGTCTCATTCTCATGATCTCATGTTGTGGTATTAAAGGAACACTGCATTTTTTTCATAAATAGGCTCATTTTAAAAGTCACTTAGAGTTTTACAATTTTCGAATCCATTCAGCTGTTCTCAGGGTCTGCTGGGAGCTCTTTTAGCTTAGCTTAGCATCATTAATTTGATTTAGACTATTAGCAACTTTTATCATGGTTGCAGCAGGCACAATGATATTAAGCAGAACAGTTTTCTAGATTATCTATCTGGAGACTATTGTCAAGCTAGTTCCTAGCCATATCGACCTAGAAAACAGCAACTTTTAATTTTCTCTATGTATTATACACACAACGTAACTACAGAATAGGGCTGGGTGATTAATTAAAAAAGTAATTGAAATTGATATTCAGAACCTATAATTGATCTAAATCTTCAGTCAATTTTCAGTCACATGACGATGTTCTGTTTATCCTTGGTTCAGCCTTCAAGCAGTTGCATAAACCTCGCTGTGGCTAACACTGATGCTGATGCACACTTCTCAAAATATGTAACTACAAATTGCGATGAAACGTAGGTCAAGCTCTGTGATTGGTCGGCTTAATATCGGTGATGAGCGTGGGTAGAGCAGCAAGCTTGTTGGAGCAAGTGTTTACAAGTGTGGTGGTAAGGCTGATCTATACTTCTGCAGCCACTTTGCAGCCACACCTGATCTCTGCTCAAGTTGGACGATGGACTCATTCTTGAGCCTTAATTTGCACTACATTGACGATGATTAAAAGTTGTGCCAGAGATGCCTTGAGACGGCATATTTTTCATTACATTAAAATGATTATTTCCATTAAAATATTTGTTTACAGAAAATGAAAAGAAATGCACTGTTTAAATATTATTTACTGGATGTACAAGTTTTTTTTTTTTGAAGAAGAAGAAGACTTTTTTTAATAATTTTTTTAAGGGGTTTTTCACCTTTATTTTTTGAAAGGATAGTAGAGAGAATAGACAGGAAAGCATGGGGAGCAGAGAGAGGGGAAGGATCGGCATAGGACCACAAGGCGGAATCGAACACGGGTCGCCGCGAGCACCGGAGTGCATGTGTCGACGCACTAACCATTACACCACTGGCGCCGACGCTTATTTTCTACTTTAAATATGAAAAATATTGAAAATTATTTTGTTTTTGTCCCAAAAGTGCAAGCTTTTTATTTTTTTAAGACTGTTGGTTTTAGGCAATGTGTGTTTTAAATTCAGTTGCTCAATGTTGCTGTTCAATAAATAATCATAGATAGTAGATAGTAACACACCCCTCATTCAAAACTCTCTCTCTTGTAATATGTGAGCATATTTATTGTAGAAAACATGTCCGTGAACTGTGAGGGCAAAAATATAAAATAAATGAATAAAATAAATGTTTAATAATCAAGCTTAAATGTTCAGTTAATTGAGATTTCGATTTGAGGCCAAAACGCTCAGCCCTACTCCAGAAGATTCAATCTTTAAATAGGAAAATTATCAAAACTAATTTCTGAATTGAGCGAGATGCTAATGGTCTCATCTGATTCAATGATATATGCTAAGCTAAATGTCCTATCTCCAAAAAAAGTGCAGCATTCCTTTAAAACCGCATGAAATTAGGAAGAAAAAAGACGAGACAGGCAAGGTAATGATAAGAAACAGTTTGACAAATGCTTCAGTGACTGAACTCAATGAATCTGTCAGATTAGGTACTAAATCTGTAAAACAATAACAATACTCACTCAATGTTTATATGACTGCAAACAAAAAAAGACATTTGAAATGTCGATAAAACTGATTTAAGAATGAAAGAAACTCTGGGTCTATAAAATAAAAACACAGTACATGACTCTACACATCTATTTTTAGAAATGTCAATGATTATGCAAGTCACTGACAATGTCCCTGAATGTCAGTGAGAGAAAACACTAAGGGTGTTATATAAAAAGAAAACTCAGTGGTGCCAGAACATTTTTTTTCACAACTACAAAACATACACCACAACAACAGGAGTAACTTTGACCAAAGGCAAGATCAAACATGTCAAACCCTAAATCAGCAACTGTATATCTACGCGAGAGATGTCATTGTCACGTCCATTTCTGTTATCTTCACAATTTCTAAACTATACAGAACATTTCTGAATCTCACAAGGCACTCATTTTAGTGCTGTACACATGCAAATCCAATTAGCCCTCCCCTCAGCTCACTTCTCTCATGCTCACTTGGGAGGACTCATTTTTCCTTCTACAGTTCCATAGCAATCATTCATTGTTAAAACTTTAAAAGGCCCTATTCAGTAAACAATTGTAAATATCATACAGCACATCATGCATTACTTGGATACACCAAAACGCCACATAGACAACAAAAAAGCTCTGTGTAAACCTGCGTCTGTCACAACAGTTGTTATTCTCAGAACTCAGGAACACATGCTCATCCCGCAGAGTCTTTATGACCTGAACATACAACAGAGAAGCAAAGACAGTGATCGTGCAACTGCTGAAGCTGCCACATGCTAACTCAGCCCTCACTGACATATGTTGCTCATTTCATTGCATTTCTTGACCCAAACTGGAGGAAGTGTATAGTTCAACATGGAAAGCCCTGGATGTTTTTCATACCACGTCATATAAAAAAATAATCACAAACACATGTCATTTTACAGTGGTTTTGTCAGCTACTTTGTCAGTCTACTCAAATTGACTTGTTTAACTGTTGTAGATTATCCACGCTGAGGGCATGATTCATTAATTTGATAAAAAGCACCTTCAGGACAAACACTAATTAAATGTTTCTGCTTTGGTCAAAAAACCCAAAATTGCTGTTTTATACTGTAATTTTTGCTGTTGTACAAGCTAGTACATGTTGGTACTTCTTTTTCATCAATTGGTAGAAGTCACACGGAAGTTGTTGATGCTTATATGGCCGTGGCTCATACTGTGTGAAAAGAATTTACAAGTTGAGTAGCACATAAGCGCCAGGTAATTGGGCTTTGTTGGTCCAGCTAATTAATTTGGTGTGTTCCACACATCGTCCCTCATCGGGTTAACGCTGAATTGCATTGATTTGATTTAGCATGTCAAATCAGCATTGGCCAGTCGGCTGAAGAGATCGCTCTGATTGGTTATTCAGCACTGAATCAGATTGTGAGTGATGTAGTGAAGTGACGCAGCAAGTAAACAATTCAAGTGAAACGGAACCACAAACAGTTCGGCTGTAATTTCGCTATATTTCTCAAAAACTTGCAAATGGGTGACAACATTGATATCATTATTTACTGAGCGAACACCATTTTCAATAACAATAAAAAAAGTTAGTATGAAGTTTTGGTATGAAGCGCTATAGTCTTTTTAAAATGTGGCTTCTGAGTGCGTGCCTTAGAAGTGTAAGTTTGTCATTTCCAATGGATGCTCCAAGTGCACACGCTTGCTACTTCTAGTCAGAATAACAACACAAGCAAAAAGAAGTGAGAAGATTGTAAATGAAAAAAGATGTAAGGATTTTGCCAGAGTGGCTTTTTGGTTTCTTTTCTTGTGCATCCCAGCCACTAGCACCCCATCTGAAATTTTCTTTTAGCATAGGGGTGATTTCATTCAACTTCACAATTTTTAATATTGCATTATACAATTGAATAATGATTGCTGGTTCCTTTATTTGAAAGCTCATATTTGATTATCATAATTTGTCTTGTTAAAATGGTTTGAGGTTTACTGTATCATCATTATTCACACCGTAAAGTTTGCTTAGATCAGTATTTACGCTTTTCCATTGCACACACTTTGTAACACTTTATTTATCAAGTTGAAGTCTCTTTAACACTTATGTTTATTTAATTATAAAAAATAAAAATTTTATTTTGTTTCTGACTATTAAAACTATTTGCCTTAGTAATATTGGAAAATTAAAATAAAGTGTTTAAAAAAATTATATTCCTAAATGTGTTGTTAAAAAATATTAAACTATTGATATCGAATTATATGAAACTGTGATAATGATATTGTGATAATTTTTTTGCAATATCGCCCGGCATTATTTGCAAATGATGAATTATTCGATTAACAGACACATTTGCAGGAGTGAATACTTCTGTGGTGGGTGACAATAATAATGGTACTAAATGCTGCTTTTTTTATGCCTTGCATGTGAAAGTCAAAAGTTTAGGGTTTGTCATTCTGAATGAGAAAAGAGAAACTGCCCAGCGATTCAGAAAGACACGTCCTCTTGAATCAGTCAGCTGCACCCATTTGGTGTGATCACGGGCAGCTTTTTGGCCCAGGCGAGACCAGATGCAAGCCAATGTGAGATGACAGAGAAAGATGACAGTTGAGTTTCCTTTGCGCTAGTTGTTTGTGACCGGCTTAAGCCTAGTTCACACTACAGGATTTTAAACATCAGCAAATCGCTGTGCTGTTTACACTACATGACTTGACTTTGTGTCTTTTGATCTCTGTGGTGTTCACACTACGCAACACTCCGTAAACGATCCACAAGAGGGGGGTCACACACTACATGATCTGACAACATCTCATTCCCCATCAGCTCATTCAAGCTACCAAACCCCAGCCAATGAAAATTTGAGGGAGGAGTCGTCAGAAAAAGCTGAACACTATTGGCTGCTTTTGTGCTGATTACATCACTGACAGTTTTTCAAGCTTTGGAGAAAGCATTAAAAACATCGTCAAATCAGCTGATTTATCAGCGGATTAATCACTCATCTGCAAGGTTTGAGTGGATAGATACACAGAGAGTTTTTAATTTTTGTAATTTTATAACTCTTTGAAATAAAACTAACATATCTA